TTAGATTTCTTGAAAGTTTCGTAAGCCAACTCAAAATTTTTTGCACACATTTGGCTTGATAATTTAAAACCTATCCCAAAGTTTCAAGTTCATTGTTCAAAATTTGGCTGAGTTATGACCATTTCAAAATCCATCGGATACATGATCCGAGAACTCAGTCAGTGATCTCTGCACTCAATCAGTGATCTCGTCACTCAATCTGATCAAGAGTAAGGCGTTAGCGTGTATTAATGAGGTTCATTAGGCTTTACCAAAAATACTGAGGAGATGACGACCTGATCATGATTGATCGGATACCGATAAAGACTTTGCTAGACAGGAAAACACCAAGTTTTAGGATAAATGAAATCAACTAATCAGCAGGGCTAACAAGCCCTGAAACGGTGACACCACCATTAATTCGTGTTATAGCGTTTTAGGTGCTGTCAGCTGTATAGGCCGGCCCATGTAAGCAGGCTGCAACCAATCAAGCGGTGCATGTGAGCCAAACAGGCCATATTTAACCATGAAGTGACGAGATCACTGACTGAGTGCTCGGATCACGTATCCGATGGATTTTGAAATGGTTATAACTCAGCCAAATTTTGAACAATGAACTTGAAACTTTGGGAAAGGTTTTAAATTATCAAGCTGATAATTTTTTATCGAACTGAGTGTTTTTTTCAGCAGCATAAATCGCTCCCACACGGTAACAAAAGGTTGTAAATTATATTGTATAGTGTTATCTTTATCAGATGTACGTGTAACTTCATTTCCCAATATCTTCAGAATATTTTGTAACTTAAGCCATGGCATGATGAAATCACTGAAGATATGTGCCGTGAGTAGGTATGAAGCTATTAATAATTGCAGTGTCAGAACTCAGAAATCGGAGCCCTGGGCGTAAGGTTTGAGCTACTCAAGTGGAAATTATACCAACATTCCAGCCATAGAATTAAAACAGAATTTGATCACAAAAACTGTAGCGTACTTTGAGTTTGAGATAAGAGCAGTAGAGCCCCTCCCAGATTGCAACATTGCCATGTAGAAGTAGTGACTGCACTAACAATATTTGTTACATGGGCTGACTCCAACTTACTTTTTATCTAGACAGACATCAATTTAATGGTGAAATTTAATGGTGAATAATGGCGAAGAATGGAGAATGATTTTTAAGGTGAATTGAGTATCCAAATTGTAAAATTTCACCATTTTACACGGCTAATGTAACAACATATTTTGAAGATATTAGGAAAGGATTTACACAGAATTTACACAGGATTTACACAGTATTAAAATTAAATTATAGATCCATTATGGACCGTCATAATTGTTTACAGAGATTAATGAAAACAATCATCTTTGCTTGAAGTCAGGGCCAGGGTTATCCTTAAATCTTAATTATGACTAATTCGCGAGGTTCTCACCAAATTGATAGTAAAATTGTTTAAGTTTCGCGCATTTGAATTACGTTGACGCATATCTACGGTGAAGCTATTTCGCTCTTCGGGGCGAAAAATGAACTGAGTGTTTTTTAACAGCATACAACTATGATTCATTCATTTTTATTGATTGTAAGGAACGAACCTGTGACTAGCAGGGCTAACAAGCCCTGAAACCGTGACACCACCATTAATTCGTGTTAAGTGCTGTCAGTTGTATAGGCCGGCCCATATAAGCAGGCTGCAACCAAACAAGCGGTGCATGTGAGCCAAACCGGCCATATTTAACCATGAAGTGACGAGATCACTGACTGAGTGCTCGGATCACGTATCCGATGGATTTTGAAATGGTCATAACTCAGCCATATTTTGGACAATGAACTTGAAACTTTGGGAAAGGTTTTAAATTATCAAGCCAAATGTGTGCAAAATCTAAGTTTGACCCATATCTATAATCTCTGAAATTTTGGTGCAATTTGGAGACGAATTACGTGAGTTATTAAAAGGTTGCGTGTGGGTAGTCACTTTTGGGCCACCCTGTATCTTATAGAAAGAAAGCTGCTTATTTAGTTTAAAATCTGCGATCACAAATGTTATAAGTTATTTGGAATTTTGCCTACTTGGCACCAAAACTAAAAGTCAATGAAACCGAGCTGATTAGCGCAGTCAAGAAATTTATTATCGGAGGTAATAAAAAGCTGACAACCACTGATTGGTACTGAATCTCCATGCAATTTCAACGATAATGCTACTCCTCCTCATGCTCCTCCTCCCCCAGCCCCCTCCGCTTGCTCCTGCTCCTGTTCTTGCTCCTCTTTCTGCTGCTCTTTCTGCTCCTGCTACTACTCCTCTTCCTCCTCCTGCTCATCCTCCCCCTGCTCCTCCTCCTCCTGCTCCTGAACCTCCTGCTGCTACTCCTCCACCTGCTCCTCCGACCTCCTGCTCCTGCTCCTGAACCTCCTGCTGCTACTCCTCCACCTGCTCCTCCGACCTCCTGCTCCTGCTCCTCCTCCTCCTGCTCCTGAACCTCCTGCTGCTACTCCTCCACATGCTCCTCCGACCTCCTGATCCTGCTCCCCTCCTCCTGCTCCTGCTCCTGAACCTCCTGCTGCTACTCCTCCACCTGCTCCTCCGACCTCCTGCTCCTGCTCCTCCTCCTCCTGCTCCTGAACCTCCTGCTGCTACTCCTCCACATGCTCCTCCGACCTCCTGATCCTGCTCCTCCTCCTGCTTCTCATGATCCTCCTGCTGCTACTCCTTCACATGCTCCTCCGACCTCCTGCTCCTGCTCCTCCTCCTTCTGCTCCTGAACCTCCTGCTGCTACTCCTCCTTCTGCTCCTGAACCTCCTGCTGCTACTCCTCCACATGCTCCTCCGACCTCCTGATCCTGCTCCTCCCCCTGCTTCTCATGATCCTCCTGCTGCTACTCCTCCACGTGCTCCTTCTGCTCCTCCTCCTCATGCTCCTGTTCTTCCTCACCCCCCACTTCCTCTTGCTCCTCCTCCTCCTCCTGCTCCTGTTCTTGCTCCTGTTCCTCCTCCTGTTCCTCCTCCCTCTCCTCTTGCTCCTCCTCCTCTTCCTCCTGCTTCTCCTTCTCCTCCTCCTCCAGCTCCTCCCCTCCTCTTGCTCTTGCTCCTCCTCCTCCTCCTCCTCCTCCTCCTCCTCCTCCTCTTCCTCTTCCTGCTCCTCCTCCTTTATCCTAATATAAGTAGTATATGGAAAATATGGAAATCATAGCCTTCCGATTTCCGAATGTAGGTACGGACTAGGAACCGACCGGATATTCACGCGGCTGAATCCGGTTCCGGCCGGATATCCGAGTAGCATGAAACGTGAACAAAATCAGTTTCCAGAAAAACTTTGAAAAGATTTTGACTTTACAAATCTTTGGTCAGAGTCATTCTCGATACGTACCTCTGAAGGCAGAGCTCCCGCTTCCGAGCTCGTATTGCAAAAGGAGGCCTGCCTTCCGAGATCGTATTACAAGGAGGAAGCCTCGAGTCCAAAATTGTACATCGAGGAGTTAGGAACGGACTTTAGAAAACCGAAAATAATATGTACTTCCTTCGGCTCATAATGATCAGGGTAGCATGAACCGTGGACAACCGTCAGCATCTCTTAACCCACTCGCCTGCTGACCTACAATTTAAAGTACGGACTAGTCACACTTTTCAATTCGACGGTGCAGGTGTCATACGTACTTTTAAATTTTTATTGAAAAGAACTGTCCAAAAAATCCAAACAATCGTTTTTGAAGTACGACTTCTCATCTAAGCTGCTGACGTAACCTTGTCACTTGTTAGCCAAGAACTTCCCTAAATCGTTACCACTAGACATAAACAATAAACATGACCATTACTACCAGACATTCATTAAATCCGCAGCATTCGACTTTATATATTTAACGGAAAACCTGCCTAAATAGAGCAAACCTGCTGTGGTTAGGGGAAAGAATAGGCAGGTTTTGTGTTTATTTTTCAGTCTTTCCTTTATATTTAACAGAAAACCTGCCTAAATAGAGCAAACCTGCTGAGGGTAGGTGAAAGGTGAGGCAGGTATTGTCTATTGCAGGCTTTTCTATTAGTATTAATCAACAACTCAATAAAATAATCACGTGAAATACACCTCTGCGCGAATACGATAAATAGGCAGGATTGCGGTTAATTTTACGGGAATAATTTTAAAACTTTAAATTGATTATCAGCCTTAATGTAAAACCTGCCAAATTAGGTGGCAGGTGGCAATGGCTGGAAGGGGCCTCTAATTTGATGATTAAAGCCTTCCACGATTTAAAGCGATAAGAAAAGTTTACTTACTGTTTCATTTTAAGTAATTTCTGGTACGAATTTCCTCACCAGTGCGGAATGCGGAATGGAGAATGCAATGAAGACAGATAAGTTTTAAACACGTCACACACTTTAAATTTAAGACGGTGCAACGCAAAGAATAATTAATCCGTCCAAAGACATAGTTTATCTCTGTTATTTGCGGATATAGGTGTAGTGGTCGTTACTTTTAACTAATGTACTGAAAAGTCGATTTTGATATTGGACTTCGTCCTGATTCTTTTTCTGTAAATGGGGAAATAACCAAAGTTATTATGTTGGTTCTAATGACCGATACGTCATTTTAATCATCTGAATTCTGACCAATACGAATTTGAACTTTTGACTTTCAATTTCGGGGACAGCAATGATGTAATTTATACCAGATAACGATGGTACCACTACCGCTGCCTAGTGATGTCACCTACAGAGCTGAAGCTGTAAGCTAATTAGAAAAGTAACTGATCTAATTATTTTGCACCGTGGTTTTCATTCAGCCTTTGCAGTTTGCAGAACTCATTCTTCAATCTTTTGGCTTTAAATGGTTTCATCGGGTTCATTGCCACGTATTAGTATTTCAATAATTACACCACACCTGTCTGCAACATGCAGTGAACGTATTTTGCGCAGATATTTTGCCTCTTTTTTATTGTTGCACTGAGAATACTCTGTTAACACGTCACTTACTCGTATACAATTAAACCTTGGACACCCTGTAGTATTAAAATATAATTAATTCTAACAAACCCAGGCATGATCAAGCAGCTTGGGTTCCTTATTTTGGTCCAGTTTCTCGTCGTTGACGCTTCTCCTAAAGATGGACAGAAGTTATCTGACTACTTGTGGGAGCAAACAGCTGCATACCAGCAACAAGCCCTGAACTCTAGTCTGATATACGGAATGAGGGCGAGATGCCTGGACCCATCTGAGTTTGGAGGCTACATGTTGGATGATACTCTCTACTGTTACGAGACTTCGTTGAGTCTCAAGAAAGCCGGGGATCGTTCCAATGACAACACTACGCTCAAAGAGCACATGGAGTCCACGGCTGATAGTTGGGAAGAATACTGGGAGTGGCTGAAGGACATTTGGCATGTTGAGAATGCTGGGGGTATTAAGATGGGAGAAGCCGGTCAAGCATACGTGGATCACATCAGAAATGTGTCTGAGCATGAAAGTCCTGTGTATACCATTCTGGCGCTGACACCCTGTGCGAAGCTATGGCCTTGGTTAGGCAAACAGATCGGGTCTGGAAGCAACGATTTCGGAGTTTACACTTCTTGGGTGGAGGAAAATCTTGTCCCAACCAGTACCGGATACATGGAATACCAAGACCATGTGGAATGGGCTTACGAGGCAGGAGTAGTCACAGCTGAGAAGGCTTTAGAGATATTCACCGCCAGTATCCAAAATGAGGTTAACTTCTTCAACTCAGTCGCGAGATGCCAGCCTCGACCACGCCGCGAATCTGGTATGTATTTTAATCTAATAATTGAATTTCTTTCTCGGTTCACAGAAATGTCGGATGGTTCTTTTTACCCTAAATGCCGACATGATAACGGATAAAATCTTAGATACATATCATATCTCATGACGGTACTGTTTAAAGAAACCTTGAGACATACAAGTGTGTAAGATTCAAAATTATAAGAATTTTAAAAATATACAGGAGTTGAAGTTTTAAACAACAGTCCGTTCGTGGATTTTTTCATTGATATAAATCAAGTTTTCCTATAAAAAGTCTTAAACAACAATCAGTTCGTGGATTTTTTCATTCATATGAATCAAGTTTTCCTATAAAAATATTATGTCCCTTGTCCAGTCCATTAAGCTTATAGAGCCTCGCATTGCTCGTTCTTTGCTCTGTAAACGTCCGTTTGGTCTTCGCAGAAAGACTCGATATCATAAATCTTGAAATACCTCTGGAAGGCTTTAGAGAGATCCGGAGGGGCTGCTTCAGAGAAGAATATCCACACATTGTTGAACAGTTTTTTGTAAGCTTTCTTCATTTCCTTGGTAACAAGGGTTTCCATGGCATGCTTGGTGCAACATGTGTAGAAAGCATCACTTATTTCGGCAGCGCAGCTAGGATCACATGTGGCCTTCCTTTCCATGTTCAGATATATACCCATCACTCTGTTAGCGATAGACGTTATCGACTCTGCCTCCAGGTCTATGGTACCCATTGCCGTGAGAAATTCTGTGATTTCTTTTTCAACTCTTTTCAAGGAAAGGCAACCATCGTCTCCACTGAAGGTATTGTCGATTAACTTGCCCCCTAAAGAGTACATCTTTGAAGTTTCTAAGACACAGTCTTTCCCGTTCTTTACGCCACAAACTGCATTTGTTAAACCATAAAGGATTGTTTTCAATGATTTCCAGTCAAGATTGTCCACAACATTATTGAACATGCTCCCATCCAAACCTAGCATCTCAAACAGGATACCGTTGTAATTCTTGGCACAGCGAGCAGAAGCTCCAATCATTTCAGGACACTCACATAGAGCCGAGGATACAGGGACCACAATGTAGTCAATAATGGATTGCATCGATCCTTCGAGAGACTCGGCATCAATAAACTTTCTGAAGGAAGCAGGGCCATTATCCTTGAAGTGCTTGAACAGCTGACAAGGCTTCTTCTTGCACTCTCCCAGATCCCGGAATTCTTTACGGCAGTTGCAGCCAAACAGCCAGTTCTCACTGGAGTCACATTCCTGTGATTCCTGTGGGCAGATTTGGGATTCAAGCATACCAAGCATCATGTTGACCTCCGGGGTGAAGGACGAACCAAACTCGCTCAGGTATTCACTTGCCTTGACCTTCGCCATACCCTCAGCATTAATCAGAGATACCACAAACGAATCGAGCACACTGGTGTCATCTGCACTAAATTTATATTCCTCACCAGGTTCCCCACCAGGTTCCCCACTGAGTTGCCCACTAAGTTCCCCAGTAGGTTCCTGAGCCACAGAAAGAACAATACAGGACAGAAGAACCACAATCTTCATCCTGTTCATAATAGGAAGTTGCTATGTCAAGTGGGCATAAAAATCTTAGTTAAAATTTAGTAATGTTCACAGCTATAATTATATTATCATTGAATAGGAAAATGGGCATTCGTGAATCTTCCGATTCAGATCAAATTGAAATGAGGAGTTTAGATATCATAAAAACATGAGGCATAACCCGGCTGGATAGTGGAACTAAGGCCGAAAAGACGATCGGCTATTAATCAAAGAATAAATCACGTGACGGCAAACAAATCCTAATTAGCACTAGCCACTAGATCAACGTTAATATCCAGTCAGTGCACTTAAAAAAACCTTTATTAAAACTTCATGTCTAGCTATAAAATTTCTTCATCCACAGAAGAAGGGATATAAAATAAGGTGAGGTATTAACTGGCATGGTTATAAGAAAAATTCCAGCAATTAGATTAAAATATAATCACCATCAGCAGCAATTTGAACCAGGTCCAAATATTCAAGATAAGAGGCCAGAGGGCCTTGACCTGATGATCTTATTAAGGGTTAACCCCTTAAGTCTAAACCAACATGTTAATAAATTTATCACAAAATTATGTGCAGGGTTGTATGCTCAGTGCATATTTGATAAGGTCCTATCACATTAACGTACCTGGTTATGACTAGTTATGACTTGTTATGACACATACACGGCCCTATGACTGTGGACGATAACGGTAAGAATAAGGTACTGAGCTACACGTGCGTCACTAAATCAATTACTTAATTAGATAATTACTATCACCAAGTCCTGATATCAGCTAACCAATTAGTGATAAAATAATAGGGACGCTGAGAGCTCACCAGGACAAGAATTCAAAATGTTCACTCATCTCTGAAAATCATAAAGAATAGGGGACTCGAACTCCATACCTAAACTTTTTTTCTTAACAAGGATGATCGGACCATAATTCAAAATTCAGCAATTAAAAGTTGTCTAAATAGCTCACATTTATCTGTTTCAGGGAACGATTGTCAAGGAGAAGCATGATAAATATGATCAATTGAATAGAGCGACGAATCAAGACAAATTTTCCTAAATTGTAGAATTAACTTTGCGTTTTTTTGTATTTTTAAAATCAATTTGGGCTATTTTTGTTTGTAGTAAATCAAGTATCCTTGTAGCACATCAGTCAATCAGTCAGCTAATAATTGGCGCCTTCATGTCTACTTAAATGAGCTCAGTTACAGATAAATAATAATGTTCTCTGCAAAATAAAAAGTCTGCTAAAAACTCGTTTCTAAGCAGAAAAAAAATCACGATTTCAAGGAAGGAAGTTCTTTTCTTGAAAGAAATGAAAACCAAATCTTGTCTAGAATAAAACAAATTCTAACCTCCCGGAGCGGATAATCCCTTCTTCAACTTCAGATGAGATCTGACCACCTCCAGGATATGATTGCTGATCTCGTTGTGGGACTCCAGGGGAGCAACCTTGAATGCGATCACATTTCGTTGGTCGTTGAGGGAGCGGAGGTGACCGTACACCCGAACATAGGTGTGGGTACGGGTCATATTGCTTGTATCCTCCTGGGTGATTAGTAAGTAATTAGTGAGTAATAAGTGAGTAATTAGTGAGTAATTAGTAACTAATTAGTAACTAATTAGTGAGTAATTAGTGTGTAATTAGTGTGTTATTAGTGAGTAATTAGTGAGTAATCAGTGAGTAATCAGTGAGTAATTAGTGATTAATTAGTGAGTAATTAGTGTGTTATTAGTAAGTAACTAGTGTGTAATAAGTGAGTAATTAGTGTGTAATTAGTGAGTAATTAGTGTGTTATTAGTAAGTAATTAGTGTGTTATTAGTGTGTAATAAGTGAGTAATTAGTGAGTAATTATTGAGTAATTAGTGAGTAATTAGTGAGTAATTAGTGAGTAATTAGTGAGCAATTAGTGTGTAATTAGTGAGTAATTAGTGAGTAATTAGTGAGTAATTAGTGAGTAATTAGTGTGTAATTAGTGTGTAATTAGTGAGTAATTAGTGAGTAATAAAAGATTGATGATGAACGGCCTCATTTCTAAGCATCTCCCTTGAAATGATACAAATACTTTACTGGTCGCCTAACTTATAAAAGGAAAGACGAGGCTGTCTCTATGCTAGTACATAACTGTAAAATAACGAACAAAATACATAAATGAACACAGAGAAACACCTAGCAGGAACCCACCTCTCCCTCCTGAATGAACTTTCTCACACTAATAGGAGGTCCAGTGTAATCGTCTATCTTGTAGGTGATGCTGGTTGAAGCCTCTATAATGTCCCTTACCATACCTACAAACGTTACCTGAGGTACCATGCTTTAGTATATAATTCAGATAATCCTATTAGTCAGACAATTTCCGTGAGGTTCTCACATCTGATTTATACAGGGTGTTTAAGTAGTGGTGTAGTAGTGACCCAGATGTTATTCTTCGTAAGCCAAGTGTGAAGGAGTGATCTAGCTCTACTTTGCTAATAAATCTATTAGAATTGCCGTTTAAAACTGCAATTTCGAGATTATAACTGACCAGATGAACATCTACTCCTTTGTAGTTGAAAATGTCGTCAGCAGGGTTGTGGTCAGCCTGGAGCATCATGGCTACCGTTACTGGCATCAAACTCGTAGGTTTGTTAGAGCTTTCTGGTTTCCGGCTTCCTGAAAATAGTCAAGACATTAAACAGGGCTGGACTACAGTTTACAGATTTTGAAGAGTTTTTTGTGTAATGTTAACGGCCACAAGTAGTAAAGTTAACTTAAAAAACCACGGTGAAATTTCAAAAATTGCGAGCTCCAAAGATGTACTCTACAGAAACATGTCTCATTCAATCGGGTGCGTTTCCCTCACACAAGGAGTATTCGAACCAACAACAACAGCAAGCATTTCTCAGGAGAAGAGCTTTACCTCCGGGCGAAGTGAAGCTTTGATCTCCTCCAGCGTTAAAACCGCCCCCAGTGTTACCTCCTCCAAAACCTCCCCCTCCAGTGTTGGCAGAGTTACCACCAAATCCACCACCAAATCCACCGGCTCCTTGAAACATCCTACAATAGGGAGATTGGTGTTTTAATTCTGCGATCAAGCATCAAGTTTTATACACATCATTTAGAATAGCTTAAATTGAAAATAAGGTGTAGTGAGTACGGGTGATCCTGTTGATTGAAAATCTGAAACGCAGTAAGGCGACCCAAACTTCTAAAAACACCCATTTACCCTCAGACATATTACAAACAAAAACATATTCACAAATCACAAATACCAATGTTGAATTTTTACACTGTATTAATAACCGAGAAAAGAAAACGTTTGCCCAAATTATTCAGCTAGAATCAACAAATGTTTTAGGAATTTTATATTCATCTATTAAAAGTTTAGAAGCAAGTCTCCTGGCGTCACCCTGTACCAGAACATTGGACTCCGTTCTCAGGCCAGGTACCACCGCCGCTGACGAAGACATCACGTGTTGAAGTTTTTGTGCTAGCTCCTTTGCTTCGATCCCAAACACCTCAAAGTTCGAAATGATGGTTACTTTTTTGTTTCCTGTTCTTTTTTCCACTTTAAACTGTATCGGGGGCAGGTCTCCCTTGACGGTAATGGGAAATTTGTCAGGAAGCGAGATGACGTAGCATTTTCCACAGTTTGATTCCACTTTCTGAATGACCTGGTTCCACTGGGCGGTGAGGTCACGTGTCTTTATGATTGTGGAAAGAAGGGGATCTAGTCGAACTAGTTTCTTGTTGTCAGGATCGGCTAGGTCGTGAGATTTTATGTAGGTAATCACGTTATCCCGCAAAGTTTTCCGTGACAGAATATCACCTTTTTTGTGTCCTGAGATTATATTAGTTTTATTACTAGTTATTTCAAGATCAAGCTAGCATGTAGATTAATCAACTTGTACACTGAGCAGATTTCTTCAGATAAAATTAATCCTAATAGCCCAATATAAATCTGATATATTTTAAGTATATATCCTTACCATATAAGGAAAATAGTCGAGTCACGTGCGCATTGCACGTGAAAGCCTGAACAATAGCAATATTTTCTTCTTCCTCCACCTCCTCTTCTTCTTTTTCCAGCTTCTTTACTCCCCTTAAACTTGGGTGAGCAAAGTTGACTTCTGTTATCATCAAGACTCCTGAAACATTTTGAAAAAATTAAGATCAACAATATTTTTACCGATCATCGTCCAGAATCAGTTTACCTTACTCGGGATTATTACGACGGGTTTATTAACGACCGGTTAAAATATGGTTCGGGAAAAATATGGCGAAATTGCTCAAAACCCACCACATTTTCCTGGTCGCCATTTTACCGGTGTCCAACCTTTCAATTTTAGATTCAAAAATTTTGTCTCAGATGTAAATGTCCTTATTAGAGATAAGCAAGTTTAGAAATTTTCGCATTGCTAAAACTTGTGAAACAAGTCGAATTATCAATAATTGTTGAAAGTAGACAGAAATAATGACTCGTGGTTAATCAAACTAGATGGAAAATAATTTTTAACATTTGAAGCGTAACAACCAGATCGATATTAAGATAAAGGGAGAGCTGTTTAGTCTTCCAATAAGTTGTAATCATCTTCGTTATCTTCATCTGGATCATCCCTTTCATCAGTTTTAATTAAGTCAAGTTTTAATTTAATTGTTACTTTTACTTTGAGTCCTATTTCATTATGTAGAGATAGTCAATACCTAAGAAATTAAAAATTGGCCGGGGGGGTACCAATGGCATAGAATGGAGACAAATGGCATAAAATTCATCAAATGGCATAGAAATTTCATGGCATAAATGGAAATTTTGTTTGGCCAATTCTCCATTTATGCCAATTTATGCCATGAATTTAGGTCTTCATATTTGACCTTTAGGATGACTTTAAATTCGCAAATATTATTAGTACTTGAATAAGAGACATGTTTCATGCTTTATAACGCTTGGAATGATCTTTAAAGATTCATATGACAAATAAAGAAAATAGAAATGTATTATATCAAACATATACCAAACATTTGACTATTCAAGAAAAGCAAATTCGAAAGTAGGACCCTAGAGCGGAGTCAAATCGCCAGGGTAGGACTCTAGAGCGGAACCCCCTTACCGGACCCATACTATGAGGACCCTAGTGCGGAGTCAAATCGCCAAGGTAGGATTCTAGAGCGGAACTCCCTTACCGGACCCATACTATGAAGACTCTAGAGCGGTACCCACATGCACATTTTAGAGCGGTTAGAAATTTGAGAGTAAAGTTTGTTTTTAAGATTGAGCTATGTTTTTTAATCAATGATTAATAATAGTCGTCACATAATGATGATAGAATTGATACAACTTATTATACATTAATACTGCGAATCAAATATCTTAAAATACAGGGTGGGCCATAAGTCAGTACCCATACGTTGGCCTTTATAGCTCAGTCACTGAGTGCCCAATTTAAATACTTCTTTCTGGTATGACTTAGTACCACCACTGGTTCGAGGAATTTGTCAACTCGAAAAATATTCGCGTTCATTTTTTTCAAATGGAGGTTCATTTTCACATTTATTTGATAATTTGGATAGTCGGATCAAGCTAAATGTTATTGAATTGTGTTTGGCCATTCGAATTACGTTTGTCCTGAAAGAATTAGAACTGTACCTTCTCAGATGACCGAGATATGAAGCATAACGAGTTTATTCATTACGTGTGATCAGGTGATTGGTTTACCTAATTACGTGATAAGGTGCCCCCGTTAACTACCCCGTTAAACATTATGGGAATTGTTAAGGGTGCCCAATTAAGGTGTCGTGTCACGGTGTCACATAATCACCCAGTCAATATTGTTAACGAGATACAGAAAATGCTTGATAACTTCGTCATTTCTAATCCGTTTTGCCTCATGTTTTTAGATCATATGCAACATTTGATAATATACCGTCTCTGAAAAAATTAGGCGTTCAGCATGTTCAGAGAAAACAATATAGGTGTTTTAATATTGAATGGGCGTGGTCTAAAATATTCGAATTTTTAAATTTTGACGACGGAATCCTCGAACCAGTAAGTACAGTATGCCATCTGCAAAGCAACAGCTCTCAAATATAAAACACGGCGGAGCTATTAAGGCCAACGTATGGGTACTGACTTTTGGCCCACCCTGTAGTTCACTCAGTTCCTCGACCATCACGTTCCTCAACATGTCAAGGTGGGAGAGTGAGACAATGTCATGATCGTCGTAGACTTTTACTAAATGTGCCAGTCGGCTGTCCTTGGTACGCTGTGGAAACTCCCTGTACCCAATTCGTCATGAAGTAGTCAAGGAAGTCGTCGAAGCCAAGGTGGGAGGGTATAAGATCTAGGAGCTCCATGAAAGAAGGGAGAACATCGTCCACTGGGAGAAAGGCAAGCTGCATAGCGCATATAAGTCTACGTATCCACACTCGAACAGGACCTGAAGTCCAGGAATTGGTAAGGGGGTCGTTAATTCCTTCGTCGTAGTCCTTCTTCAGTCCGTTCTCCCGTACCCATCTCAGCTGTTCGTCCCCGCATGAAGACGGCCTTCTCAGGAGGAGTTAAGTAATAACTGTTACTCAGCATATTGTAGATAGTTGTAAAGAGGAGTAGGAATCGAATCTGATATACTAAACTAAATTCTCTGTGACATTTATACTGCACTATCGAAATCACTAACAAGAACCGCTATGCGATGGGATCTGATCTGGAACATACCCTGTCACTAGACTGAACATGAGATACCCTTAGTAGGTGCTAAAGTGTCACGCGATGATCCTAAATGATCTGCTTGAGTGCACGTACTTGGTCGGTATTTCGCTTAGCGAAATCACATCGACCAGTTCATAATTATACCTCTTTATCAAAGAATCTTTTTGCATTTTAGAGTAGCATCAGGATATTTCAGTCAAATGGAAGAAGTTTATACCGAACAATTGTCTAACGTATCTAAAAATTACAATATGATATGATGTATAATATAAATAATCTAGGACAATTTTCTGCTTCAACAACTCCATGAATTATTCTAATCTCACTATTATAATAATCAATCACGAGTTGTATCTAATCTGATTTCAATCTTCCGACCAAGTCCACTCTACAGTCCGATCTCAAATTTCTAACCGCTCCAAAATTTACATGTGGGTACCGCTCTAGAGTCCTCATAGTATGGTTTCGGTAAGGGAGTTCCGCTTTAGAGTCCTATCCTGGCGATTTGACTCCACTCTAGGGTCCTTATAGTATGATTCCGGTAAGGGGGTTCCGCTCTAGATTCCTACCCTGGCGATTTGACTCCGCTCTAGGGTCCTACTTTTGACCAAGTACGCCATACAGTCCCCCGCTCTACAGTCCTACAGCCCAAATTGCGAGATGTTCAAAATCCTACAATGATTATACTAGATTAACGTTATTATAGAAAACTAATTAAGGAGTGCTATGTTGCCATGCAGCAGTGAATATGAAGATATTTAAGCAATATATTATGTCATCATAATTTTGTATGTAGTTGTCTGGCTTAGAAGTCACAAATTTCTGTATCACTGTACCCTTTTTCTGATCTTTGACGACTATGATTCCCTGCATCTCCAAATTCTTCATTAAAACCCCAACTTTCTTGAACTTAGTCTGTTTGATCTCAGCGGACCCTGCTAGGCATGGCTTCACATGCTGACTGAAAATAGTAAGATTTCAGCAAATAAAATTCTATCAGATTTATCAACATTCCTGTATCTGTTGAATAAGAAATTGCTTCTAGTATAAGTTTGAAGTCTGAACACTGACTACCATACTTATAGAGACTATTTATAAAACTGATTAGTATGAAAACCTGGATCCCTCACCTGTAAAAATTGCTGATAAGAATAGGAAGGTCTGTCTTCTTTAGAGAGGTCTTCAGTGCTCTGTAACAAGCTTCCATAATGATATCATCTTTACTTATTGCTACCTCTGAGAAAATTGTTTAAGTGGTGAGGCTCCTGTTATTCAATATAAATATTAAACCATAAAATGTAATTAAAATTGCAGAAACATCTAATTTAAACACACGGGTTGCAAGACACATGTTACCTTCTAACGATGTCGCAATGCTTTCAACAGCAGAACTCAAGTCTTCTTGATCAGTTGCCACTTCTTCTGTTTTATCAGTTTCTACCCCTTCAGAGTGTTCTCCTGGTTCATCGCCCTCTACTTCTGTCTGGATATAGCTTATCAGAGATACAAAATGTATGTGATATATTGATTAATTAATATATCAATTAATAATAATCTATGTAAAACTGTCTTCTCTGGCGAATTCTACCTGGGAACTTGGTAGAGGTAAAGAAGGAAGTTTCTCTTTAGTTCCATAATGCCACAGCTGATCTTGATATATTTGATAAATGTGTATTCCCTTGCCCTTGAAGCCTCGTTGGATCGCCTCCTGCCGAGAAAGTGCCCATGTTCCGACAGCTAAAGCGGCCCCGTTACTCGGCCCGCAAATAGCGACAATCTGAGGGTGAAATTGGGCATTTTTTCAACGGCTTGGATTTGTAAGAAGACATCCAACATTCTATCTGGATAATTGGAGGCTGATAAGTTGAACGTGTTGTTTTAACCCCTTGAAACAAAGTAGAACATCAAAGCGGCCTGCATGTATTATAATAGAACGCACGTGAAATATATATTTTTCGCGGGTTCATTGCGCCTTACTGATAGCCCTGTAGCAGCGCGCGTTACGTAAAAGTGTTCGAGCGTTTGTAACCGTCCGAAATATTTATATCTTTCGAAACACTGTTGCTTAGAAATTAATACAGAATGGCTCATGCAATTTTGATTGAAATAAATTTTCGTGCACATACAGAATGAATGGTTAATAATTTAATATATATGTAGACCAAGGTCTGTGCACGGGATGCTTCCTGGAAGAATCCAGTTCTTTTAGCGGGGCACCCTACCTAAAGCCAAATTGAGATATAATAATCATATTCCTAAGAAATAATCAGAAATCGAATACCAATCAAATAATATGATATATATGAGTAGTAACCATATTTACTATGCAAAATGCCCCAACCACATAGTGTAAATTTATATAGAATTCAAATTCCATATCATCATTAAACCTCAATACCTAGTCAATATAATAGCCCAAGCAAAATTAATAATACCATAAAAAAACTTCAAGCGGTCCGCAAGGAAGGTTAAAGTAAAGATAGTTGTAATTACTCACATCACCAACGTCCCAATATTCTGGAAGAGAACTTGTATAGATGCCGGGTAACATGAGATGTGCACCTCCTAGCAACTTGTCCAACACGTTATACGGCATAATTACTCGGGGCACTGAAACAGTTCAAATAAACACTAGTATTTCCATCACTAAAAAACCTGGCGTTAAGCCTGAGCACAAAATATAAAACACAGTAAAATCACTATGAAGGACAGATTTTTGAAGAGAAGCTTCTCTGCCGTTTCCTTGACCGAAATTTCGAGGTTTTGGCTGAATTTTTGACCAGAGACCAATCAGTGAGGTCGGTGAGAGTGACACAAGTCGCCATCAAGGTATTGGAACCAGTATATCCGGAGAAAACTTTGACGGAATGAATATTTTGAATATGTCCTACCGGTAGGACATATTCAGATTTCAGCTTTCCGCGACCCAAATTTCATTGTTTTGACTGAATTTTTCTTGAATGGTCACTCAGGATGGCACAAGACACGATTGAGGTAGCGAAAGTTCTATTCTCAAAGAAAGCCCTGATAAACGGAAAATCATCATAATAGAAAAAGAGATTTTGGAAGATTTTTGAAGAGAAGCTGTTCTGCCGGTTCCTTGACCGAAATTTCGCGGTTTTGGCTGAATTTTTGACCTAATTAATCACTAATTAATTGAGCTACCTACACAGATCAGGGATCCGCCAGAGAGTGTGAACAGTGGGAATTGGGACATTATCTTCCTCTAGTGTCATAAACAGGGGTACTTTGTCAATACTGTGAACCTGATAAGTAAACAAGGTTTAATCCATAAATACGCAGTGATATGAATTACATATATTATATATATTGAAACTATGTTGAACTCGATAATTAGAGCAAAAAGTGTCAAAAATATTGTGATTTTTCTACCTGAATGAATCCCAAACTGTCATAATGTGGAAGTAGTTTCGTAGCGAGTACATTAGCTTTGTTTTGTAGCACTGTGATTATTTCTGGATTTTTCGAGAAAGTTTCTTCAACTATATGTCGAAACTTCTTCCTGTAATTGTTAACTCTGATAGTTGAATGACCTTAAATGTCGATTAGGGATGAATGTACTTCGAATAAAACGATCTAAACGATGTTTTTATTTTCTTAAAGAAGAATTTGGGTCATGCAATTAAAAATCGCAGGATCATCACACTTGCAGACATATTGTCTAAGCCCCCCTAAGATTGCCCCCCCCCCCCCCCGCAATCTTAGGGGGGCGCCAAATCGTTGAATGTGGGACAATTTCGAAACTGCACTTACTTCTCAGAGGTCTTTAGTTGGACACTAGATTTCACTTTGAATGGCTTACAAAACATGCTATAACTTTAACATACCTAAAAATATCACAAAAACTGTATTAATTGGGCAGACAGGGCAACAATTTGATATTCCTAAGAGAACATAGTCGATACTTTCACAAACATTTTATATGCCTTTTTTAAAGAACACAAATGAATACTATCAAAATTCATTCAAAATAATCGATCAAGTCTATGTCACAACAAACAATACAATAAACCTAATATAAACAAATTAAACCCCAGATATATCTAAAATTCTACAAAAGTACAGAAGTTTGCTTCAAAAATTGTTATTGATGTTAAAGCGATAGATGTACATTTTCCATTTGTCTTGTCTTTAGCTTGCATTGTAGAAGAATTTCTTTGAATCCAATCTTTAACACCCCTCAGTCTTGATTAAGTTGGAATCAGCAAACAAATGTTGTTTTGAATACTCCCATATCATAATGGAAGCAGACACGTGAACATTCAGCGATCTGATTAGACCTAGTTGAGGGATCTCAACACAAACATCCAAATGGCTCAACAACTCAACGGGTATGCCATCCCTTTCCCGTCCCAACACTAGAACTGACTTTCTGGGAAACTGGAATCTGTCGAGATTTACACTGTCTGAAGCCTGTTCTACACCGACTATTGTGTACCCCAGACGTTTCATCTTTTTAAAGTATTCTACAGTAGGAGTTGTGTCATAGGACACCTCCTCAAACTCTATCCATTTCTCAGAAGTCATACTCAAGGACTTGAAGTCTTTGTTGTTAAGAACCTCCAAGTTGTTTACCACCATAGTCTTCACTCCAAATATTTCACCCGTACGAGACAACCCACCAAGGTTGTTACCTTTGCTGATCAGTGAAGCAAACACGACAAGGTCACCTTTTTCAGTTGAGCCTCTGTCAAAATCAATACCAAGGTTAGTTGCCATAATCTGCCAAGGGGTTATCTTTTTCTGCAAGGATGAAAACTCAGTCAAATCTTTAAATCGTATGATGTAATCCAACTGCTCCCGAGATTCTGGTTTTGGTAATTCCATGAAATTACCAGAGATCACAGGATAATCCATTTGAAAATCAAAACCTTCTATTTCCCTTTTCATAACACATTCGTTTTCCAGAACGCTGTGTTGCTGAGGCAAGGACAAGAATATGTTGAACAAACATAGGTCGTTAATTATGTTAAACTTTGAAAAAAAGACTTTCTTTTCAATGTGCTTTGAAAGTAGCTTGCTGTACTCAGTTGATTCGGTAATGAAATCTACTTGAATTTTGTAGTAGTGTGGTAGATCCCAATTATGTTTATCATACACGGGCGATAGTAAAACCAAACAGCAACAAGCAAAGCTCCTTACATTGTGATTGTTTGCACAGGTCCAAACACTGATTCTCTGCAATGCCTCATCCAACAGTGATTTTTCCAGCAGCTTTTTCTCATTTAGGTACATCAAGTGATGATAAAGGATTGAGAACAAGGCACTGAGAAGAGCATTACTGTTCGTGACTTTTCGAGAAGTTTCCATCATTCCAAATACTGATGACACTGTATCAGGGTGTTTTGAAAGGATGTAGCAAGCGCCGCATTCAATGAAGCAACGAACTGAAGGCTGAGATTCAAGAGTCAAGCACATCATTACATCTTTAAGTAGACTATTGATACCCTCATTATTCATTTTCTTTACTACTGCTGGGATCAAGCATAATAAAGCCTGTGCTATTCTAATCTTTGTTCTATTTGGCAGGGAGTTCTGTAGGGCAGACTTATCAAGGTTCCGGAAAGATGTCAAGTAGAAGTCAACAACAGTAGTTGACAAGGCAGGAAATCTTTCTATGATTACGAAGAGCATGTTCAAAACTTGAACCCTCACAAATGGAACACCTTTTTTCAACCTCTGGTACAAAGTGTTGACAGGAATTTCCTCTCCCAAGTGTTCTATGTAAGCCATCAAATCATCCTGATTCTGTTTCTCTCGAGACTGTGTCACCCCAAACAGGGACAAGTCTGTCAAAAGGTCAAGGTAACATGCTGCATTCTTCATTTCACATGTAGTGTACAAGGAGAGATGTTCAACAACAAGGCCCATAACCATTTCCTTTGAGTGTGTCAGCTCCTTGAAGTCAAAAACTGTCTTGATAACTGCCTTGGCGCATTCAGGGTGGTCCAGGACGGTGGGGTTAAACATTGTAGAGCAAAATGAGTCCAGCAAATCCCAATATGTACCTGAATTTGAGAAGTCTTGTAACACACCCACAGTATATGGAAGACTCTCATAAAACATTTCAGCATCTTCATTAATGATTTTCGGAGTAATGTGCTTTATGAAATTAAAAATCATTTGGATAACATATGGGTCTTTCATTTTTTGAATGCTTTCAATTCCTAAGTTGAAGACATTGCAAATATCTTTGTTATCAAACTCAGTGGTGTAAGGGTAAAGGAAGGCAAAGCAAGTCCAAGAGCTCTCTAAATTTACAAGGGATTCTGATGAGAGATAAGGTAGAAGCCACTCCAAACTTCCAGGACTCTCCGGAAGAGATAATTCATAAGAATCTTTTATCCTATAAATAGCTTGAATAACCACAGAGCTTTGCACCATAACTAGAGATTCGCTTTCTTTGTTCTTTATTGATGAGAGAAGATCAATGATGAATGATGGTACCATTCCTTGTTGTAGCATAAACTGTGCAGAGAAGTTTGCTAAAAAGCATGCTAAATGTTTTAATCCCTGCTTAGATTCAGTACTTATGCTTTTCGATTGATGGATATCTTCTGAATGCCTGATGAAGAAAAGAGAGCAATTCTCAAAAATTGAAGAAGAATTATCCTGGCAAAACTTCAGAATATCACTATTTTTGGAACGTCCTTTGAAGAAGTGTAAAACGATGTTAACGCTGATAACTGAAATTATAACTGAATTTTTTGATACATACAAGTTCATACCACAGTTCAGCAAAGGTTGGAACACAGAGGTAATGATTTTATCATGAAGTAGCCCTTGGTCATCACCCATAGCCAACAGCAGAGCAAAACCCTGAGTCTTAGCAAAGCTTTCTTTCTGAATGGCTAGTTCTTGCATTACAAAGTCTTCAAAAGCTCTGCCAGCGGTCTCTGCGTCATAGTCTTTTACCAATAAAGACAGCTCTTTCCAAAGAGAATGGTTAGAATCCAATGTATGCTCAATATAGACCAAGTTGAGTAATGTTTGAATCGAACAGAGCACATCTTTTCCATTTACTGCTACATTATTGGATATGAAACGTAGCATAAATCCTTGAACAGCCCCTTTGACTTTATGAGGTTGTGTTGACAAAACTGTTCTACAAAGTTGAGCCAATTGGTGCACACAGCCTTCACCCACTTTGTATGGTAGCTTTATGTTTGACAAAAGATGTGTGAGCATTGTTAGAGGAGTTGAGCTGCTTTTTGTCTTACTGAGAAATACAAGCAAATTTTTGAGGAATGATTTGCTGATTGAACTGTCTGCCTCACAGAGAATTGTGGTAAAATAGTTTTTAAGTTGATGAAAAATTGGAGGACCTTCACCTTTTGCAATAAAATTCGGTCTGTAGAACATGTAAGTATTATGAATATGTGAAAATAAAAGCGTTTCCAAGACAGTTATACCTTCTTTGGTCAAAAATGCTTTAGGAGGCAAATCTAGGAGAAGCTGAAACCCCCACCTTGAAATCATTTTGGATTCCTGGAACATCAGTCTATTGAAGATTGTGGCTACCCATCTAATGTCCAGTTTTTCTTCAGTAGCATAGTCATAGAGCTTCGGGATCTTGGCTAAAACAGGACGAATGATGTGACCCTGAGTTTCTTCTAAGGTCTCCAAAACAACTAGAAGATCTTCCATAATTTCTTTTCTATCAGCAGGATATGAAATATTTGGGGTAGTCATCAAGAAATTGACAAGAAAGAGAGATCTTTTACGGATACAGCAATCCTTATCATTGAAACATTCTATCAGTTTATCCCAAAGAGTAGGACGGTGTAGAATGGATGACACCAAATTACTGTCGAATGAGAGAGAACTTGTGATATCACTTAGGGTTATCAGCAGTGCTTTTGATGGCAAATGTTCAATTAAATCAGAAATGAAATCATTTTTGATGTCAAAAGAAAATGTCAAAGGAATTTCAAAAATACCAGTAAGAGCAGAGACTGCAGAATGGTCCATCTCCTCAGTTGTCACAGCTGAATATATTCTTTTAAGTTGCAGCCTAAATTCTCCCACAGGAAAGAGAAGTCGATGATTATGGGTCTCCACTATTACAGATAGAACTTTAGATACTAGAAGACATGTCTGATATTCACATTCAGCAAACTTATCACAAATCATTACCGTTAAAATGTTCCATTGATCAATGATTTCAGTAGTCGATATCCCATGCTGTAGAGCCCTGGTCAGCTCAAGAAACTGCTCAATCCTATTGTAATAAATTGTATCTGGTAATTTGGCACAAATCAATGCGTTTATACACAACGATGTTGCTTTAGCTCCATGTTCATCCAGAAGGAGTTTCCCAAGTTCTGAAATGTTTGTTCCTAGATTTTCAGTAGATGTGAGAAAATTGGACAACAGCTCTTCAGACATAACTGGGACTGAACCCTAAAAAAAATATTGTTTACAGTAATATAAATAAGGTATGTATAAATTTGGATGTTTTGATTTTAAAGAATGATAAAACGATACAATTATACAACTTGTAATAATAATATCATAAATAAATTGAAATACTGACTCTAAATTGAAACATCCAGCATTGCTAGAAGAAGACTTCGAATTTAACAACATGCAGCTCATGAGCTCAATGAAGCTAAATTTAAGATTTTCAACTATGTAACTCAATAATTTGGTTCTGATACGAAATCTGCCATTCACAAATGACAAACGAACTGCTAAGTTACAGTCTTACAAAAGGCGAAGTAATTGAGCCGGCAGAAACTGTTAGGGACTCGGGTGATTCTATCACACAACTGCTCTTGGGCACCACACATCCAGAAAATTATCCAATCAGCAAGGACCATGCTTTACTATGTGACATGAACCGAACAAGAGACTAGGAAGCTTGTGCCTTGGAAGGATGTGAAACAAGAAACTGTTTAGAAAACAGTTTGTTAATAACTGTAAATTAAATCCTGACTAAATAAGGCAGATGCACCTACAAGCAGATATCCAAGAAAGGTTAGCAGGTTTTCTAACAAAGGACTTAAAAAATGGATAATGACTAGAAGAAATCTCAGTATGAAACTCATCAGCCTATCAAAATAATATTCAAGATAATAAAGAAAAAAAAGGGGGGGGGACCCCCAACCCACATAGCTGAGACACCTCACAGCAAGTAGACTAAAGTGGCTCTTACTTGTGAAAGGTGTATCAAATACCCGTCGAAACGGTGAGTTGGGAATCAGTAAAATTTTACACGACATATAAAAGCTACAATATATTATCCATAAAATTTACATAAACAAACCTCATAGCTAGTCTTCTGAGGTCTGAGATTGAAGGATACATCACCCAGTCCAAGGTGCTGAGCTTTTTGTCTTCCTCTGATTCCCCTGAGTGCTATGTGTGTGCTTCAGTGGCGTAACAAAGGGCCCTGCTGACCCCGCTGTGTGGGGGGGCACCATCTTAGGGGGCACCAAATCGTCGTTTGAATGTGGGACAATTTGGAAAAACTTAACTACGGTACTAACAAAAGTGGGCGTAATGCTCTAGAAATACACTTTTGGGGGGGTGTCATGTCCGTCTATGTCCGCCTATGTCCTGTCCTTTTTGGATTCTATGAGACAACGGACGTGTTTTTTGGGACATTGGCGGACACGGACGGACATTGGCGGACTTGGACGGACATTGGCGGACTCGGACGGACATAGGCGGACCCGGACGGACATAGGCGGACTCGGACGGACATTGGTGGACATTAGCGGACATTGGTGGACATTAGCGGACAAACATTTTGAGAATTTTTCGCAACTTGTATTATAATCTTGTACAAAACAAACGACTTATTAATCACACTAAAGCTATTAATAGCTTTAACTTATTATATCAAATTATATAGGGACCCAGGAAAAGGCCCCAGGAAGAGGAGGAGGACTGGGGAGGAGGAGGACTGTTGAGGACTGATGAGGAGGACTGAGGACGAGGAGGAGGAGTAGGAGGAGGACTGAGGAGGGGAAGAGGAGGGGAAGAGGAAGAGAACTGGGGAGGATCAGGAAGACCCAGGAGGAGGACCCAGGAGAAGGACCCAGGAGGAGGAGGAGGAGGACTGAGGAGGATGACTCAGGAGGAGGAGAACTCAGGAGGAGGACTGAGGAGGACTGAGAAGGAGGAGGACTGAAGAGTACTAAAGAGTACTGAGGAGGATGGCTGAGGAGGATGGCTGAGGAGGATGGCTGAGGAGGATGACTGAGAAGAATGACTGAGGAGGATGACTGAGAGGGAGGAGGAGGATCAGGAAGACCCAGGAGGAGGAGGAGGAGGAGGACCCAGAAGGAGGACCTAGGAGGAGGAGGAGAACTGAGGAGGATGACTGAGGAGGAGGAGGACTCAGGAGGACTGAGAAGGAGGAGGACTGAGGAGGATGGCTGAGGAGGATGACTGAGAGGGAGGAGGAGGAGGAAGAGGAGGAAGAGGACTGAGGAGGATCAGGAAGACCCAGGAGGAGGACCCAGGAGGAGGAGGAGGAGGAGGACCCAGGAGGAGGAGGAGGACTCAGGAGGACTGAGGAGGAGGACTGACGATGACTGAGAAGGAGGAGGACTGATGAGTACTGAGGAGGATGGCTGAGGAGGATGGCTGAGGAGGATGACTGAGGAAGATGACTGAGAGGGAGGAGGAGGAGGACTCAGGAGGAAGACTTAGGAGAAATGAGAATGAGGACTGAGGAGGATGAAGAGGAGGACCCAGGAGGAGGAGGACTGAGGAGGAGGACTGAGGAGGATGACTGAGAGGGAAGAGGAGGAGGAGGAGGACTCAGGAGGAGGAGGAGGAGGACTCAGGAGGACTGAGAAGGAGGAGGACTGAATAGGAGGAGGACTGAATAGGAGGAGGAGGAGGGGGACTGGGGGAGGACTGAGGAGGAGGATGGAGGACTGAGGAGAAGGATGAGAAGGAGGACTGAGGAGGACTGAGGACTGAGGAGGAAGAGGAGGAGGAGGACCCAGGAGGAGGACTCAGGAGGACTCAGAGGACTGGGGAGGAGGAGGACTGTTGAGGACTGATGAGGAGGACTGAGGACGAGGAGGAGGAGTAGGAGGAGGACCCAGGAGGAGGAGGAGGACTCAGGAGGACTGAGGAGGAGGACTGACGATGACTGAGAAGGAGGAGGACTGAGGAGTACTGAGGAGGATGGCTGAGGAGGATGGCTGAGGAGGATGACTGAGGAGGATGACTGAGGAGGATGACTGAGAGGGAGGAGGAGGACTCAGGAGGACTCAGGAGGAAGAGGACTCAGGAGGAGGACTTAGGAGAAATGAGAAGGAGGACTGAGGAGAACTGAGGAGGAGGAGGACTGAATAGAAGGAGGAGAAGGAGGGGGACTGGGAGAGGACTGAGGAGGAGGACTGCTGAGAAGGATGAGGAGGAGGACTGAGGACCGAGGAGGAAGAGGACGAGGATGAAGAGGAGGAGGAGGAGGACTGAGGAGGATGACTGAGAGGGAAGAGGAGGAGGAGGAGGACTCAGGAGGAGGAAGATGAGGACTGAGGAGGACTGAGAAGGAGGAGGACTGAGGAGGAGGAGGAGGAGGAGGACTGAATAGGAGGAGGAGGAGGGGGACTGGGGGAGGACTGAGGAGGAGGATGGAGGACTGAGGAGAAGGATGAGGAGGAGGACTGAGGAGGAGGACTGAGGAGGACTGAGGAGGAAGAGGAGGAGGAGTTTTTCAAATTGTTGCTATAATTGATTTAAATAAAAATTTGTTGTTTTCTTGATCCAGGAGGAGGACCCAGGAGGAGGACTCAGGAGGAGGAGGAGGACTGGGGAGGAGGAGGACTGTTGAGGACTGATGAGGAGGACTGAGGACGAGGAGGAGGAGTAGGAGGAGGACTGAGGAGGGGAGGAGGAAGAGGACTGAGGAAGATCAGGAAGACCCAGGAGGAGGCCGAGGAGGAGGAAGAGTAGGAGGAGGAAGAATCTAAATGTTATTTCCATTTACTCTAGTAGCAGAGAGGAGTTGAGTGTGCACTTCAATGTCCACAATTTTTGACCACACAGGGTCTTTCATTAGGTCATTCCAAACCAAAATCATCTAGGTAGCAATTTTGTATCGCTAGTCCCAGTCCTACAGGGCGAAATTTCTAAATTGCCCCCAGGCGCCAATTTGGGATTTTTGTATCTCGGCTTCTAAAAGACTTAGAGACTTGAATATTGGCTTAAAATAACGGCAATACCCTTATTTATATACAAGTTATGAAGCAATATAAGGTCTCAAGTGCCTAGTTTTAAAGATATTTACGAAAAACTGTTTTTTGGCTCATCGCAGCCGGAATTATCGGATTATTTTTATATCTCGAGCTAGAAAGATCGTAGAAACTTCTCCGATATTGAAAAATATTCGCAATGAGCACATTTATATAAGACTTATGAATCACTGTATGCTCTAAAATGCTTATTTGTAGAAATATTAGCAAAAATCGGTAATTTTGGCTACACCAATACAAATTTGGTAATTCGTTTTGTCTTTTTTTTGCAAATTTTCACGTTGCAATTTTCAAGATGCGGTTTGTGGCTATCGATAGGGCTTTATATGCTATTGTATGGTTTTGATACAATCCTTCAGCACCTAGGACATTGGCAATAGGGGTCACAAACCCTGAAATGTCAGGAACTGGGCAGTGGCCGAGATAAATATTTGATAATTACTTGGACTCTTGACTCACATCCATCCTTTCAACGGTTAGTTAGACATCTTAAACCAGTATTGAACGTTGAGTAAAACTTCTAATCCATTTGTAGCTCAGGTCATGTGCCCCAGAAAAACACGCCTGAGTGACAGTGGGCCTTATCGATCATGAGCCGCAAATCACAAGGGCATTCGTACTCTTGGCTTAAATTGGCTCTTCGTTAGTATCATCAATTAGATTTCTAACTTCTATTATATCATCTGCCTGTCCAGTGTCCATCCGTCTCTTTGAGATTCATTATTAATTCAAGTTCAGTCATTTCGTTTCTGTTCAACTGTAGGCGTAATGAGGGACTTCAGTCCAGCAATAAAGTCAATATCTCTAGATTTAGCAATATTTGGTTTCGCTACTTTTAAGGTAATTGTGTTCAGCAAGCAAGGTTGTAAGTTTCCAGCCCTACGCCCCTACTGCCCCAAAATATTGCCCCCCCCCCCACCCCCGGGGCACTAGTAATACTGGAGCACTGGTAATGCACATGGTATAATGCTGATTTTTTGCTTAACATAGCTCATTTTAAAGTTCCTTTTTCAGCAGTCTTCCCTATCATAATTCATACTGGCATAAAAACAGATTCACCTCCTTTATCTCTAAATATAATCTTGAACCTGGGCTCTACAGAATTAGAATTAGAATTAGAATCAAATTTACACAGCAATACAATAATAATAGTAAATAATTTAGGGATAGATACAGGTTATCTAATGTCCATCTCAGCATTTACAATTTACATTGAGTCATGAATTAGAATTATGTGGGGCACAA